TCGTGCGTAAGCAGGTGCCTATCTCCCTGGCTGGGTGCAAACACCTGGCTGGGCTGCCAAAGTGAACCTCTTCTGTCCGGACAGCCACTCACCCGTGGCTGACTCAATCGCTGGCAGAATCTGTGAGTGGGCGTTTCTTAAACTTCTTCCAGCAAAGAAGTTCTTTGACGCCTAGTCTCCGCCTACCCTCTCTGTGCGAAAGCCTTCTGTGCAGGGATGGCATGGGCAACGGAGGACCCCTACTCTCCCCGCTGGTCCCAGGCAAGGAGTCATGGGACCGCCTCGCCACTTCCCCCACCTGCCCCCCTTCTCCACTGGTGCTACACTGATTCTCTTCCCCAGAAGATGGGCTACTCCTCTCAATCCCTGGACGCTCTCTGGAATCCCTCTGGCTTTTGCGCTCCCCCTCCAGTACTGATGGCAGTTCCCTGACACCACCCAACCCAGATCCAGCCTGGAATCAATCTGGGAGTGGGGCTAATGTTCAGTTAGGGCTTTTAAATGTATACTCAGGAAGAGACTGGGAAACGCCCCTTGCATCTAAACAGGAGGAGGAGGGAAAGTTGCAAGTGGCAAATGGTCTTCCACCAGCTGGATCCAATCCTGCACGGTTCTTCTTCCCCAGCGTTCCCTACACTCTTTTGCTAGCTGTTAAAGTCGGCTTTTTAAGGGCATAAGCCAGCTAACTTTCACCTGCATTGTATCTGCTACAACTGATCCAGCAGGCTCTTCTTGTAATTCTATGTGATCATGAATGTGTTTGGAAAAGATTCTGGAAGTTTACCTTTTTAATTCTGTTTTATTCTGCAGCTACCGCCTGTCTCCTGAGCATCTTCCTCCCGCTCAGTACAAGGACTGCCTTGCTGCTACCATACACTTAATTCAAAATGCAGCTTCCCATGGGGTGGATCCTTCCAAGATCATTGTTGGTGGGGACAGTGCGGGGGGCAATTATGCTTGTATTGTTGCCCAGAAATTGGTGGACAGATCAGACCTTCCAAAGCTACGGGCTCAAGTGCTCATCTATCCTTTGACACAGACTATGGACTTCAACCTGCCTTCCTATCAGCAGAACAGTTCAGTGCCCATCCTGTTCCGGGAAAACGTTGTTTACTTTGGCCTGAAGTACTTTGGAAAGGACCCTTCTTTGTTAGGCCAGGTCCTGAAGGGCTCTCATGTGCCAGATTCAATGAGGCTGAAATATGGGAAATGGGTGAGTCCAGACAACCTTCCAGAGAGATTTAAGGGGAGAGGCTACAAACAAGTCCCACTTGCTCCTTATGAACCTGAAGTCTATAGGCAATTTTCAGAGATATCAGAAGCCGATTTTTCTTGCCTTTTTGCTGAGGACACTGTCATCCAGAAGCTTCCTGAAACCCTAATTGTGAGCTGCGAGTACGATGTAGTACGAGATGACGCACTGCTGTACAAGAAACGTCTGGAGGACAATGGGGTGAAAGTCAGCTGGTTCCATGTTGAGAACGGGTTTCATGGGATGATAAACTTTTTCAAAGGATGCATCTTTGCATTCCCCACTGCAGCTGAATTAACGGACAGCATCGTAGACTTTGTCAAAAACTTATGAGAGGAAATCTCTTGAATTTGTGAGTCCTTTTCCCTTTAGTACACATTAGTTGGCTGGAGATCTGCACTGCTTATGCTGTTCTAGGCTGAATCAACAGAATTATAGTGTCCGGATCAAGAGAAGTAATAGTTCCACTCCATTTTGCCTTGACCAGGAGAACTGTGTCCAGTTCTGGGCACTACAATTTAATTAGGATAATTGATAAGCTGGAATTTGTGCAGAACAAGGAGATCGGGCTGATCAAGGGTCTGGAAACCAAGGTGACAGCAAACACTACAAAAAACTCAGTAGAGGCAATTAGAATAGGATCTATGAGTTGATCAACTTTCGAAGATTCCTCTGCTTAAAAAATATATCAAAGGAAAACCTATTGGTTCACATATTTTATCGATTTGTATTGATGTAAACCTCCACAAATGAATTTTGTATAGCTAACTATTTAGCTTTGTCTCTAGTATTTGTTATCTTATTGCTATGGTTAGTGGCTAATGCAAATAAAGTTTCTATCTAATCCTACTCAGAATAGAGCCTATTGCACAGAAAATGTAACATTGTTGGGGCCCAATTAAGTTTTAAGGAAGAGAATTCCAAAGAAGTGGCAACTTGAGTGCTCCAAGCACACAGTCCCACCATGTTTTATTGCAGGGATGTATGGCACCATCAACACATCTTTATCCAAAGTACAAATTGACCAGGGTTGATGGGAGTGGGAAGAGCTGTCTTCTCAGATACCCTGTCCAGAACTATCCTATAAAGGACAGTGTATCTCCCCACTTTGTGGAATCAAGGTCTTGAAAGACATAACACCTATATCTTTGAATCTGTTTCAACTGCCATTCTTAATTTAGATGCAATAGAGTGATAGAGATGGGTATCAGCCTCATGTAGATGATCCCTCACAGCATCTCTCCTGATAACAATTCCCAGCAGCTTCATAAAGATGTCTAATGGCATGGGGAACAATAGATGGGTGTCACCCACATGTAGATGATACCTCATTACCATCTCTCCTGATAACAACTCCCACCAGCTTAATAGGGATGTTCATATAACACGGAGCACCAACTTCTAGTTCCTAAGCCACCAAGCAGTGTCCTCACAGAAAGAGATGGTCTACAACAGAAATGTGTGACTGTGGCTCGTCTCCTGTTTGTCACGATACCTGATAAGGTTTTCTGATTGCCTTATCCTGCCAGTCTAGGCCATTCTTTTGAGATGGTAAATATCTTTGTTCTTGAGTCCAGTTCACAAGCCTACCCTATTCATACCTAAAATATGACCCTTTCTGCAGAGGAAATATTTGGGGCCATTACAAGTCACGATGTCTTCAGGATTGATCTCCTGTACTGTTTATGTCATGTGGTTTATGTACTTAATGTATCTTGTGCACTTATGAACATTCATTTTATTTAGAATTCTTATAACAATTGCCATGATGTCTGCACTCTGCTTCCACGGTTGGAATGTTTCTCAATATCAGCCACTGAAAAGGAAACTGCTCTTGTTCCTGGGTCCTGTTTCTGGGTAGTGAACTAGCTGGGCCATGGCCCTGGTCCATCAGGCGCTTCTTAAGTTCTTGTGCCCCCCAGAATATTTCTGAAATGACTCTAAAAACATAAGAGATTAGATTCACCTTCCTAGTTCTTATATGTGGTAATTATATTTTGCAGTGTGTGTTGAATTAGTCTCCTATTCCACGGTATAATATCTGCCTCAGTAAGGGTGGGTAGTCTGGAATTTTTTAAAAAATCTCCTCTATCCATCCTAAAAAATTCCTTCCATTTTTCAATCTGCCTTTAAAAATTGTTTCTGAGAGAATAAGATTAAGAGAACAAAGCCATCAAGAGCTCAGAAGTTTAACTTCCATTTCTGAGGTACAAAATGGTCACTGAAGGAGCTTCTCCACCCCCATCGTTCCCTTATTGCGAGAAGCGAAGTTAGAGGGAACCAGGAAGAGGGCCTTCCTCCGTAGTGGCACCCTCCCTGTGGAACTCTCTCCCTTCAGATGTCAAGTAAATGAACAACTATCTGACTTTTAGAAAGCATATGAAGGCAGCCCTGTATCAGGAAGTTTTTTAATGTTTGATGTTTTATATATGCTGTATGCTGCTCAGAGTGGCTGGGGAAACCAGCAAGATGGGCAAGGTATATTAATATATTAATATTAATATATTAGTATATTAATATTAGTATTAATTTGCAATTCTGCTTCTGGTTTTTGGATTTCCAGGTTCTCTTTCTGGGTTTTGGGTTCTGGGCATGTACCCCTTTCTCTGTGGTAATTATATTTAAAGAGAGAGAGGGGGGGAAGAGCACAAGATTCTGTGTGACAGCATTAACTGGTTGCATAGTACAGTGGTACCTTGGGTTACATACACTTCAGGTTACATAGGCTTCAGGTTACAGACTCTGCTAACCCAGAAATAGTACCTCAGCTTAAGAACTTTGCTTCAGGATAAGAACAGAAATTGTGGTGCTTCAGGTTAAGAACAGTTTCAGGTTAAGAACAGACCTCCAGAACGAATTAAGTACTTAACCTGAGGTACCACTGTATTTTGGATGCACCATTCCCACAATATGGGTGTATCCTGAGTTTTTTAAATAGCCTCCCAAGTACGGTAACTCTGGATTACACTTCACATGGTGGACCTGCAGATTAGGTAAGACTATAAAAGCAGTCCTGCAGGATCAGATAAAAAGCCTCTCCCAGGAACAAGATGAATTCAGCCACCTACTTTAGTGGAACAATGTGTGTTGAATGTGGGTGCATGTAGAAACATTTTACTCTTAGGAGATCACACCACATTTTCCCATGAGCTCCGGGCAGATTCCTGCCACAGTCTGAGCAATTTATGTATTCAATAAACATTTGCCATATGTTATAAAAGGAATATGGGTTGTGTTTGCCTTTTGCCGCTCCCGCCTGGCATGTTAGTTTCTCAGCCAGTGCTATACCAGTGAACCCTGTTTCCCACAGCAGCAAAAAAGCTGCCTTTGTGAAGCCTCTGGGCAAGTGCTAGGATAGAATTTATATGTCGCAATTCCTTTTGTAAAGGAAATTGCAAACAGGTTGCTGTAGCTCAATGAGCAACATGTCCTCATCCTCCTTTTACCTTATGTAAAATCACAATGCTTGCTTTTCTTTGCTGCTGTCACTAGAGGTCAGAAAGGAAATGTTGATTAAACCCAGGGCTTTTTCTTCTTCTTTTTTCCTTTTTTGCAGTCATTGCTCACCTGAGCTCAGCTCTGGCACCTGTCAGGTGGGCACCACTGCCATTCTAAAAGAACAAGGGAGAAGTTCGTGATGAGCTCTGGCATTCCCTTTTCCTAAAAAAATACCATTGATTAAACCCACATTAAATCCTAACTTTCTGATTTAAAGCACCAAACATTTTAGATCAGAAGGAACATGGAATTTTAAGAAAGTGCTGTAGGTGCCAGTCACAAAATGAATGCCAAATAACAATAACAATAACAGTTTACCACATTTAAATGAACAGAAAATATAGAGTTGTATCCCATACCTTCCAACATTGCTCAGTTGAAAACAAATGCTTTCTATTCTACAACCGCATGAGTATCACCGCATGAGCATTTCCTCCTGGTAAAGTACAAAAGTCATTGCGTGGACAGGTGGAGTCCCCCAAACCCTGGGCGGCCCCTGTGTGGAATAATGACTCAAGACAATGTGCTATGGGATTAAAATTGGCCGCAACCTTATTATATTTCAGATGTGGGTAGACCTTGGCTCAGCCATTGGGCGTTTATCCCTCCCAGTCCCCCACCGGGCATCTGGGGAACATCAGGGTTATCCAGTGGGGGGGGGGATGGGCTGGCTCTGGAGAACATATGTTCAAGCAGAGAGAGCCCACCCCCGTTATGCCGCCGTTGCAGGGGAGAGCAATGACGACCTCTAGGCATACAGTCAAAGCCTCCTCTCAAAAAACCCCTTTAACGGGGAATCCTGGTATTGCCGCCACAAAGAGGAAGGGGGCGTGGGTCACTGCTGCACGCCCCCCTCATTCAGGGAAGATAGATTAAAGGATTCTGCCCAAGGCCTGATATCGCCAAAGTTGTGACGGGAAAGGCAAACCTGCCAATGCAGGGGAATTCCTTTCCGGCCCTTCAACAGCGACCCTGACGTAGCAGCGCCCGTTGTAGGGTATGGTTTTCTAGGCTTCCATATGCCCTTCTTCCCTCCACAGCCTGTCCAAGCTTTTCACAAAAGGTTTCCACAATTTAACAGGAGACAGAATATTCCATCAAACACTGAGTAGAAAAACGTTGCACCACCCAAATTTAATCCTTTGATATGATGGCATATGGATATGATGGCATAAATGAATGTTTCCTTTTTTATAATAATTTTTATTGAGTTTTCCATTTAACAATCCAATCGTATCACATTAATTATTCCAAGTTATACCAATACAAATCATAAAGTCCAAATATTTTGCCAAATTATAAATTTTTGTTGGGGGTTCCCATGCTTCGAGTTCAGTAGGGTCCAATCATCTCATATTTGTGCTGCTTTTAGTGTTCACCAGTCCCATCTTCCAATCTTCTTAATGTTATCCTTTTTCTTCTTAATAGCCTCTGAGTTGTTTCCACAGGCGAGTTAAAGTAAACAATATTATACTTCTGTGTGAACTTTGTAAGGCTCTCCCTTTTTAAAAAACTGGTAAGTCTTTTGTTTGCAGTAAATCTTAACACGCTGATCCAAAAGTCCTCCTCGGGTGGCAGACGCCATTTTTTTCAGTTCCAATGAAATAAAATCTAGGCATTTGCTCATTAATTTTCCCAGACAATTTGCACCATAAATTAGCCTTTCCAGGGGAGATGTGCCTGGAAACTTAGAGTACAAACATGATAACAGAGTAAAGGCTTGCCTCCCCCTATGGCTATTAATCTCACAACATAGTGTGTCTCATAATGGCGGATCCCGATTAAAAACTGCGTGACAGGAGAGCCTTTTATTTTCTTCCCAGATATTTCAACAA